TTGGCTTAGCGGAAAATGGAAGGGGAAGATGTGATTGGTCAACATATGGAGAAGAAATGGAAGGGGAAGATGTGATTGGTCAACATATGGACAAGAAATGGAAAGGGGAAGATGTGATTGGTCAACATTTGGACAAGAAATGGACCGAAAAGGAGCCGAACCTGAGGTAGGTAGCGCCACAGAGCCTCATGAAAACCACCATTACACATTGCTGTCTCGATCTGTCTGTGGATCTGAAAGCATGGGCTTTGCTATCGTTGGATTTAGCAAGAGCGACTCTGGTGGGACTCGAACACAACCTTTGGCATAAGTCTTTGGCAGTTGTTGGAAACTGTTCTATAACAATAAACATTGATCTTCATCGATAACATCCTTAAAGGGTGACTATGGTAGGCCCTCCGCATATGAACAAATTTGTGCCACTTATATGGTTAGGTCTTTGGCAGTATATTTATAAACCGTTTTTCATTGATGATGTCCTTAAAGAGCTTTGAATAACATCTCAAATGGATGAGAAGTCTGTGTGAGACGTGAGGAATGTTCCTGGAAGGCCACACAGCACCACTTTTCTTTGGCATCGTTAGACATTGATCTTCATCGATGATTTCCTTAAATATCGACTCTGGTGGGACTCGAACCCACAACCTTTGAATCACACCTCACATGGATGACTAGAAGTCCAACGCGCTATCCATTGCGCCAAAGCGCCACAGAGCCTGGTGCAAACCATCTTTGCACATTGCTGTCTCGATCTGTCTGTGGATCTGAAAGCATGAGCTGTGCTATCGTTGGATTTAGCAAGATGCGCTATCCATTGCGTTATCTGTGCGTCAACCATTTATTGGGCAGTATATTTATTAACTGTTCTATAGCAATATACATTGATCTTCATCGATGACTATGCAATCTTCTTAATGAGCGATTCTGGTGGGATTCGTCCACACAACCTTTGAATCACATGGATGACTAGAAGGCCAATTCGCTATCCATTTGAGAAGTGATTCAAAGGTTGTGGGTTCGAGTCCTACCAGAGTCGCTCTTTATGGACTTTGCATAATTATCAATAAGTAGCCAGAGTCCCTCTTTTTGGCAACTGGTTTCAGACATGTAAGAACTTAACAAACATATCGTCGGATATATATATATATATATATATATATATATATATATATATATATATATATATATTAAGTGTGTTATGAAAAATTGGTTGTTCTTCCAGAACATTACAAAAAAGGGCGATCATGGTAGGCCCTCTGCATATGAACAAATGTGTGCCACTTATATGGTTATGTCTCTGGCCGTACATTTATTAACATTACACATTGATCTTCATTGATGATGCCCTTGAAGAGCAACTCGAACCCACAACCTTCGAATAACATCTCAAATGTATGAGAAGTCCGTGTGAGATGCTTATATAGCATTAAGGACAATGTAATGTATGTTTCACTTCAAGAACTCTGCAGAACAGAAGTCAATTATGGAATTTCCATGAAGAAAGACTCTGGACTTTTGCTTGGTATCAGTACACATTGATCTTCATTGAGGATTTCCTTAAATATCGACTCTGGTGGGACTCGAACCCACAACCTTTGAATCACACCTCACATGGATGACTAGAAGTCCAACGCGCTATCCATTGCGCCACAGAGCCTGGTGAAAACCATCTTTGCACATTGCTGTCTCGATCTGTCTGTGGATCTGAAAGCATGAGCTGTGCTATCGTTGGATTTAGCAAGATGCGCTATCCATTGCGTTATCTGTGCGTCAACCATTTATTGGGCAGTATATTTATTAACTGTTCTATAGCAATATACATTGATCTTCATCGATGACTATGCAATCTTCTTAATGAGCGATTCTGGTGGGATTCGTCCACACAACCTTTGAATCACATGGATGACTAGAAGGCCAATTCGCTATCCATTTGAGAAGTGATTCAAAGGTTGTGGGTTCGAGTCCTACCAGAGTCGCTCTTTATGGACTTTGCATAATTATCAATAAGTAGCCAGAGTCCCTCTTTTTGGCAACTGGTTTCAGACATGTAAGAACTTAACAAACATATCGTCGGATATATATATATATATATATATATATATATATATATATATATATAATGTTCTGGAAGAACAACCAATTTTTCATAACACACTTAATATATATATATATATATATATATATATATATATATATATATATATATATTAAGTGTGTTATGAAAAACTGGTTGTTCTTCCAGAACATTACAAAAAAGGGTGATCATGGTAGGCCCTCTGCATACGAACAAATGTGTGCCACTTATATGGTTATGTCTCTGGCCGTACATTTATTAACATTAAACATTGATCTTCATTGATGATGCCCTTGAAGAGCAACTCGAACCCACAACCTTCGAATAACATCTCGAATGTATGAGAAGTCCGTGTGAGATGCTTATATAGCATTAAGGACAATGTAATGTATGTTTCACTTCAAGAACTCTGCAGAACAGAAGTCAATTATGGAATTTCCATGAATAAACGACTCTGGAAAGACACACAGTGCCACTTCTGCTTGGTATCAGTACACATTGATCTTTTCCTTAAATATCGACTCTGGTGGGACTCGAACCCACAACCTTTGAATCACACCTCACATGGATGACCAGAAGTCCAACGCGCTATCCATTGCGCCACAGAGCCTGGTGAAAACCATCTTTGCACATTGCTGTCTCGATCTGTCTGTGGATCTGAAAGCATGAGCTGTGCTATCGTTGGATTTAGCAAGATGCGCTATCCATTGCGTTATCTGTGCGTCAACCATTTATTGGGCAGTATATTTATTAACTGTTCTATAGCAATATACATTGATCTTCATCGATGACTATGCTATCTTCTTAATGAGCGATTCTGGTGGGATTCGTCCACACAACCTTTGAATCACATGGATGACTAGAAGTCCAATTCGCTATCCATTTGAGAAGTGATTCAAAGGTTGTGGGTTCGAGTCCTACCAGAGTCGCTCTTTATGGACTTTGCATAATTATCAATAAGTAGCCAGAGTCCCTCTTTTTGGCAACTGGTTTCAGACATGTAAGAACTTAACAAACATATCGTCGGATATATATATATATATATATATATATATATATATATATATATATATATATATATATTAAGTGTGTTATGAAAAATTGGTTGTTCTTCCAGAACATTACAAAAAAGGGCGATCATGGTAGGCCCTCTGCATATGAACAAATGTGTGCCACTTATATGGTTATGTCTTTGGCCGTACATTTATTAACATTACACATTGATCTTCATTGATGATGCCCTTGAAGAGCAACTCGAACCCACAACCTTCGAATAACATCTCAAATGTATGAGAAGTCCGTGTGAGATGCTTATATAGCATTAAGGACAATGTAATGTATGTTTCACTTCAAGAACTCTGCAGAACAGAAGTCAATTATGGAATTTCCATGAAGAAAGACTCTGGACTTTTGCTTGGTATCAGTACACATTGATCTTCATTGAGGATTTCCTTAAATATCGACTCTGGTGGGACTCGAACCCACAACCTTTGAATCACACCTCACATGGATGACTAGAAGTCCAACGCGCTATCCATTGCGCCACAGAGCCTGGTGAAAACCATCTTTGCACATTGCTGTCTCGATCTGTCTGTGGATCTGAAAGCATGAGCTGTGCTATCGTTGGATTTAGCAAGATGCGCTATCCATTGCGTTATCTGTGCGTCAACCATTTATTGGGCAGTATATTTATTAACTGTTCTATAGCAATATACATTGATCTTCATCGATGACTATGCAATCTTCTTAATGAGCGATTCTGGTGGGATTCGTCCACACAACCTTTGAATCACATGGATGACTAGAAGGCCAATTCGCTATCCATTTGAGAAGTGATTCAAAGGTTGTGGGTTCGAGTCCTACCAGAGTCGCTCTTCATGGACTTTGCATAATTATCAATAAGTAGCCAGAGTCCCTCTTTTTGGCAACTGGTTTCAGACATATAAGAACTTAACAAACATATCGTCGGATATATATATATTTATATATATATATATATATATATATATATATATATATATATATATATATATATATATATATATATATATTAAGTGTGTTATGAAAAATTGGTTGTTCTTCCAGAACATTACAAAAAAGGGTGATCATGGTAGGCCCTCTGCATATGAACAAATGTGTGCCACTTATATGGTTATGTCTCTGGCCGTACATTTATTAACATTACACATTGATGATGCCCTTGAAGAGCAACTGGAACCCACAACCTTCGAATAACATCTCACATGTATGAGAAGTCCGTGTGAGATGCTTATATAGCATTAAGGACAATGTAATGTATGTTTCACTTCAAGAACTCTGCAGAACAGAAGTCAATTATGGAATTTCCATGAAGAACGACTCTGGAAAGACACACAGTGCCACTTTTGCTTGGTACCAGTACACATTGGTCTTCTTTCCTTAAATATCGACTCTGGTGGGACTCGAACCCACAACCTTTGAATCACACCTCACATGGATGACTAGAAGTCCAACACGCTATCCATTGCGCCACAGAGCCTCATGAAAACCACCATTACACATTGCTGTCTCGATCTGTCTGTGGATCTGAAAGCATGGGCTTTGCTATCGTTGGATTTAGCAAGAGCGACTCTGGTGGGACTCGAACACAACCTTTGGCATAAGTTGTTGGCAACTGTTCTATAACAATAAACATTGATCTTCATCGATAACATCCTTAAAGGGTGTGAACGCATATGAACAAATTTGTGCCACTTATATGGTTAGGTCTTCGGCAGTATATTTATAAACCGTTCTTCATTGATGATGTCCTTAAAGAGCTTTGAATAACATCTCAAATGGATGAGAAGTCTGTGTGAGACGTGAGGAACATTCCTGGAAGGCCACACAGCACCACTTTTCTTTGGCATCGTTAGACATTGATCTTCGTCGATGATTTCCTTAAATATCGACTGTGGTGGGACTCGAACCCACAACCTTTGAATCACACCTCACATGGATGACTAGAAGTCCAACGCGCTATCCATTGCGCCACAGAGCCTGGTGAAAACCACCTTTGCACATTGCTGTCTCGGTCTGTCTGTGGATCTGAAAGCATGAGCTGTGCTATCGTTGGATTTAGCAAGATGCGCTATCCATTGCGTTATCTGTGCGTCAACCATTTATTGGGCAGTATATTTATTAAATGTTCTATAGCAATATACATTGATCTTCATCGATGACTATGCAATCTCTGCAAACATATTGAAGCATATTGAATATAATATATTAAACAGACTCTGGTAGGCCCAATGCTTATGAACACATTTATGCCACTTATTTGATTAGGTCTTTGGCAGTATATTTACTATCTGTTCTTTAACAGTACACATTGATCTTCATTGATGATGTCCTTAAAGAGCGACTTGAACCCACAACCTTTGAATCACATCTCACATGTATGACTGGACGTTTTGTATGGCAGTATTTTTATTTATTTGTTATACTTATTGATAATAATGCAAAGTCAATAAAGAGTGACTCTGGTGGGACTTGATCCCACAACCTCTGGCAGGAGCTGTAAAGTTGTTGAATGTAGCAGGAGAAAGTGGTCTGTCTTTGTTCTGAGCTCAGGGACACAGTGATTTTAGTTGAAGTAGTCCAGAGTCCAGAGCCCCATAAAGCTAAATTGCGCACACTGCCATCGAGACTAGTAAACAAGTCATTGAAACTTCACTGGCCTGGGCCCTCTTTCATCAACGGTGCAGACGAACATATCTGTGCGTAAACTGACTGTGCACGTTCCCATCGAGACCAGTAAACAAGTCATTGGATTGGATGGCAGGAGCTGTGCTATTGTTGGACGTAGAAGCAGGAGAAACAGGTCTGTCTTTGTTCAGTGTCCAGGGGTCCGTTTCACAAAGCAGGTTCAACAACCTCTGAGTCTAATTCTAAATGCTGAGTTGATCTACTCTGAAATCGAAAACTCTGAGTTTTCAGTTCCAGAACAGCGGATTTGAGTTAATTTAATCAACTCGGTGTAGTTTCACCTAGAGTTAAGCGCGTGCACCACAACTATAAAAAGCCAGCATCAATGGAGCCCTGATTCGACGAGTCACCATGGCAACAGGAAAGCGAAGGGCTACGTTTTTCAATAACATAGAATTGGAAATCCTAATGCGCGCATACGGCGAATTTCAGCACGTTTTTAGAAAAAAATGCAACACCGCTGCAGCTGCCAAAGAGAGGGAGACAGCGTGGGAGAACATTGCTTCTCGTCTCAATGTGTAAGTTTAAATGTAGTCCTTTGCAATCACAATAATATTACAGGGGAAAACTGCTTGAATGGTAGCCTATTCATTTATTTCATTTAGGTGCAATCCCGCGGGGGAGAAGCGCACTTGGCAGCAGCTAAAGATGAAGTATAAAAACATTGTTCAAACAGGTAAGACCTCGGCATGGAGTACCTCATTTTTATCATGTTTTACACTGTAATGTAAATATGAAGTAAAGTAAATATTTGACTGTGCAGTTGTTTTATCCCCAACATAATGCTGTTTTCACACACGTAAATGTCTTCTCATCTATATCATGTTCTGTTAAATAATTAAGCCTATTTAAACTAACACAGACTTCTACTCAGCCAACAGAAAGAAGGCAGATGCCCATAAAACGGGTGGTGGCCCAGCACTGCCACCTCTAACGGAGGCAGAGGAGCCCTAAGCCAGTATACTGGAAGGCCAGTGACTGAGGGAATCCATTGAGGCAGCTCCTCCGTGGAGTGCACCCCCCAAGACACAAGTGCCTTTATAAAATGTAATAGGCCTATAGATATCTTTTTTTAGCCTATTCATACAAATATTTATTTGTCTTTTATGTCTTTTTTTCTTTTGTCCCAACAGATTCTGACGGTGCTATCTGCCTGGTGGAGCCCCCTCACGCCACAACAGACCTTGTAACTGTAAGTAGGCAATACTCCAAAGATTTTACCAAAGGGTAGTTTAAGTATACTGAAACATATCACTCATCTAGGATGAAGACGGTGAGGAAACTGTGTCTGCTGCCTTTACAGAGGGGGATCCAGAAAGGCCTATAGAGGTAACATCTTCATATGTTACTGATAGTTCTCTTCCCATTCACATTTCTTAACATTCTGGTGGAATATAGAGGGACATTTAGCCCACACTGAAGTATTAACACATTCTCATCCTTTGTAACAGAGCATGGCTGTGCAGCAGCAGGAGGGTCCCTCAACTTCCACTGCACAGATTGGCACAGTGAGATGGATGTTCACTAAACAACAGAGGTTCATTCTGTGGAATTCATGTGCAACTGTATAATGTAATGTCCTCCTTATGTATTCCCAGTTGACAGTAAAAGAGGTGTATAAAATTCACCTGCTGAAAAAAATGTAAAAAAACAATAAAGAAATGCTATACTTGGACCACCAGATTAGGAAGACAGATCTGGAAATTGAAATACTGGAGCACAAGTTAGAGATGAGTGCATGGTCACAGGTGAATTATGTTAACTATTGGAACATTAACTGAACTACCTCTTGTATTTGTAGGAAATAAAGAAGACCAAATGAAATGTGTATTACATCTTTATTTGACTGCTGTGGTGGTGGTGATGATGGTGACTTAAATTCTAAAGTGATTATTGCAAATGGTATCTCTGACTGTTCTGCCGATAGCTGGCAGGTGGATGGGGTCATCATCAGCGTCTTCAATTTGTAGGGCAGGGTGTTGCTCTCCTCTAATAGTGGCAATATTATGAAGAACAACACATGGCACAATTATATCACAGGCCCTCTCAGGGGTCACCCTGAGGTGACGTAGGCACTGGAAACGGGCTTTCAACAGGCCTATGGTCATCTCCACCCGGGCTCTTGTCCTGCAGTGAGCCCGGTTGAAGTTCTGTTGGGGGCCTGGTTCAGGGTCAGGGTAGGGGGTCAGCAGCCTAGGTTCGCATGGGTAACCCCTGTCACCCAGCAGAAGGCCGTCAAACTCTCCTGTAATGTATAGTGGATACATTAGTTAAAGGAGGGAAACAAGTGAATTATATTGTGCAAATCTTTAGGCTGCTTACCACATTGCAGTCTGTTGCTGAGGTTAGACTCGCGATAAATCCTGGCATCGTAAACAGACCCAGGCCACTTGGCTTCCACATTTGAAATGATGTGTGCAGCATCACATATGATCTTGACAGTGCAGAGAATGACAGATGTTGGAACTATGATGCAGTTTTTAACATTTTGAAACAGTCAATCTACATGTACCTGCACATTTATGCTGTGAATGGACTTCCTGTTAACATAATCGGCTTCATTATGTGAGGGAGCCGTGATGGGGATGTGTGTTCCATCAATGCAGCCAATCACACTGGGAAATCCTAAAAGAAATGAATATTACTAATCCCAGTCTGAGGTTGCAGCACAATGTCATTAACAGAATATAATAAAAAATTAATTTAACAGATCCCTACATCATTCACCTGCAATCCTGTGGAACTCCTCCTTGATGGCTCTGACAGGTTTATGTCCAGGGAAAACGACAAACATGGGTAAAAGCCATTTCAGGGCGAGGCACACTTTTCTGACCGCCCTGCATACAGTTGCCTTGCTCAAGTGCTCTGCATCTCCGACATTGTATAAAAAACTTCCATTTGCAAAGAAACGCAGTGCAACACACAATATCTGCTGGGATGTGAGAGCATGACTACGGTTGGTAATGTTGGAAATGTAGGGACGGATTAGGTTGTGTATGTAAATGATGGACTGTGACGTGAAACGGTCAAAAAGATAATATTCTGGAAAAGCTAAAACATCTATGCGCGGTCTGATAACCCTAACCGGACGAATATTTAATTCTCCGCGCAGTAATGCCGCACCTTCATCCACGGGATCGTTCTCAAAAGGACATGCCATGTTCGTGAAAAAAGTCGCCTCCTACTGTGCCTAATAGCCTACTGACTCTGATTTTTTAAATGATTTTTGACAGACGGCTACGCCAAAACTCGCCTCCTGACTGAATGAATGAAAGAGGAAATCAAATGGCGTGTGGCTGAAAGAGGGCGGAGACAGATTGAAACTCGATGTTCATTGAGAAAAACCTGGTCCCGACCAGGTTAGGTTCATAGAGTATGTTACTACGGTAACTGACCGAGAGCGTAAGTTACCTCTCTCTGTGAAACAGGCTAGAGTTGCCCCTCTTTCTCTGGTTTGAGTTACCTCCCTTTGTGAAACGGAAAACTCAGTTTCCCTCATTTCAGGGTTAATAAACTCAGGGTTTTCACTAAACCTGCTTTGTGAAACGGACCCCAGGTGTCCAGAGGCACAGTGAGAAGGCTGACCCACTGACCTGACTTTTGTGTGAAAGGCCTTAAACACTCTGCATGGGAGTGGTTGTGCCTAATTATTCCTAGTGTTGTGTTAAAACTGAAAGAAGAGGTAGACCATATGAATTGCACAAGTATAGTATAGCATCGTATTTTCCTATTGTCTTGGTATATACAAACAAACCATGATCTTATCAAGTGCAATTTTGTCACAAAAAAATAAACAAACACAAATTAATCATATTAAATATGATTAATTTTTTTTTTAATAAGGCATTTTTTAAGGTCATATACAAATATATGAGTACATCTATTTTTACAACTAATTCAGTCACGTTTTTGACATTTGGATTGCATGGAAAGTTTCACCGACCAAAGCAGGATTGCTCTGTGACCTATTTAAACGTGCTTGTAAGTCAACAGCAAGACAGGTGATACTAGTCAGCAGGAGAAAAGCATTGCCACTTTTGTTAATTTCATGAGGGATGTCGGAAACACAAAAAACTAAAGATATAAAAATGTCTTCACCCTAAGCCAATTGGGCCGTTGGACCACAGAAATCAACGCAAAACAACAACCTCTTGTAGTTTTTCTAGTTTCTGGAATCCAGGGCTGTTGTTTGGGTCCCTCCCCCACCCCTTCATCCCTGTCCCCCACCTCCCTGATGTGATGTGTGGTGTGTTTGTGGGGTGTGTGTGTGTGTCTGGGTGGGGGGGTATGTAT